GAGAGAGAGAGAGAGAGAGTTGTCAGCTGAAGGAGAGTAAAGAGGTTGGATCCTGGAAAGAGCTCATGCTTTTCCTCTGTCCCTCTCATAAATCTTTTGCCGTTTCCTCTTGTTTTTCCTATTCTAAGTTATGGCCTTTTGACAATTATTTTTCTGAAGGGGGTGGAATTACGTTGTTATTTAGGTAAGGAAGTTCACAGCACTTAGAACTCAGCAGCGGGAAGAAGTGGTCTGTAACCCTTTGAACCTGTGGAAAGTAGTGCTCTGTGTTTTCCATTCATAACAGCGGACAATGAACCATTGGACTGGAATGTTGGCAAAGAAGGAATTTATGTATAGGGACACTTTAAAATATTTTTTTAAAGAATGGATATTGTTTTATTATTTGACTGGCTTTCTGTGCTCAGTCTTCACACACCTGCTCGGCCTTGCATGAGGGATTTAGTCATGCAGTTTCCGTTGCCCTGTCCTCTCAAAGCTCACCTTTCCTCACCAGCTCATGACAATCTCATCCATCCAGAATCAGCTGCATTGCATTAATTTAGCACACACCACATAGGCAAATATGGTAACATTGTGTATGTTATAGTCTGACATTGGTTGTCTGATATTTTGAAATGCACACATTTTATGAAAAATTATCTTTTAAGCAGCAGCAAATTCCCAAAGGCTATGCATAGCTGTGGTCTGAGTTGCACATTTAATCTTCTCTTTTTTATTTTTAAAGCACTTTTGCTTGTTTTTTTTTCCCCTCTTGATTTAAGGTCTTTTGAAGGGTCCATGTTTTTTTTTTTCAAAAATATTCTAGTGAGTGTTCAAGAATAAGAGAAATGTTCTAATTTACCTCATGCAGGGCTTACATCCTAAAGTACACCCATTGTCTTGTGTTGGCTTTAAATGTCAGAAAGATTGTGTTTTGAGTCACAGTGGGTTAAGCCATTACGTGGCCACATACAAGGTTAATTGTAGTAAAAGTATTTCCACTTATTCGCTTCTCTAATTATACTTTAAATTGCATATTTAAATTTTACTTTTCAGATAACACCTAAGGAGAGCTATTGTTTCCGTTGAAGTTGCTGAAGAAAAAATGATGTACACTAAAAAGAATTTTAAATTCATACATCGCAACTTTATAACTATAACACCACAGTGACCCACCTTTGCTATTCAAATTAGTGTGCCATTCCTTCCCTTTTATTGTCTTCTGATTTTCCCTAATGTTTTTGCTCTTTTTGTCCTTTTCTTTAGACGGTGCTGATCTTGAAGATGACCCTTCATGTTCTTGGCCAGCATCATCTCCCTCCAGTAAAGATCAGACTTCACCAGGACACTGTGAAGACTATGAATTTGGAGAGGAAGAAGGGGGCCCTGGCCTGCCATATCCATGCCAGTTTTGTGACAAGTCCTTCAGTCGTTTAAGCTTCCTTAAGCGTCACGAACAGAGCCACGGAGATAAACTCCCTTTCAGCTGTACCTTTTGTAGTCGCTTGTTTAAACACAAGCGTAGCCGAGATCGACACGTGAAGCTACATACCGGCGATAAGAAGTATCACTGTGGTGAGTGTGAGTCTGCCTTCTCTCGCAGTGATCACCTCAAAATCCACATGAAAACTCACGCCTCCAATAAACCCCATAAGTGCCCTGTGTGCCGTCGAGGCTTCCTTTCCTCCAGCTCTCTACATGGCCACATGCAAGTACATGAGAGGGGGAAAGATGGCAGCAGCTCAAGCTTTTCTAGAGCTGAGGAATGGAAGCTGAAAGAAACCCGGAAATGCAGTCGGTGTGAGGAAGGCTTTGACGTTCCGGAGGAGCTCCAGCGGCACATCGCAGAGTGTCACCCTGAGTGCTCTCCTTCAGAAGATGGAGGCCTGGGTGCCACCCTACAGTGCATTTACTGCCATGAACCCTTCAGTGATGAGGGCACCCTGCTGACCCACATTGACCAAGCACACAGCAGAGATAGGAAAGGACACACCTGTGCTATCTGCTCTGAGCACTTTTTGTCTGTTGAGGACCTCTATGCGCATATGGATATTCACCAACTCCCTGAATCCAGTAACCATAGTAACAGTCCTTCATTGCTTACTGTGGGCTACACCTCAGTCTCTAGCACTACTCCTGACTCCAATCTCTCAGTCGACAGCTCTACAATGGTGGAAACAGCACCCCCTGTTGCCAAGACAAGAGGAAGAAGAAAGAGAGCTGCTCAGAATATATCTGACATGGGTGGGCGGTCCTCAAAACAGCCTAAAGTATCCTACAGTTGCATCTACTGCAACAAGCAAGTATTCTCCAGCTTGGCTGTACTTCAAATTCACCTACGAACAATGCATCTGGACAAGCCAGAACAAGCTCATACTTGCCAGTTTTGCTTAGAGGTTCTGCCCTCTTTACTAAATCTAAATGAACATCTTAAACAGGTCCACAGTGCAGAAGACCATGCTGCCTTGTTAGCCAGCTTGCCTGATGCCCTTCTTCAGTGTAACTTTTGTCCTGAGGTGTTAAGTGATCTGAACGCCCTGCAGGAACACATCCGCTGTTCCCATGGCTTCCCTAGTCCTGTTGCCAAGGACAGTAATGCCTTCTTTTGCCCCCAATGCTTTATGGGGTTCTTGACAGAGACTACCTTGGAAGAGCATGTTCGTCAGACTCATTGTGATGGAGGAAGCCTGCGCTTTGACTCCCCATTGGCTGTAACTCCCAAGGAACCTATAGTAGAAGTGTACTCCTGCTCATACTGCACCAACTCCCCCATATTTAACAGTGTTTTGAAGCTCAACAAGCACATCAAGGAGAATCACAAGAACATTCCTCTGGCTCTAAACTACATCAACAATGGAAAAAAATCCTTGCGCACTCTCAGCCCCTCTTCCCCAATATCTGTGGAACAAACTGCCATGCTGAAACAAGGTAGCTCAGCCTCACGTACTGCAAGTGAGTTCATATGTAACCAGTGTGGAGCGAAGTATACAAGTTTAGACCTTTTCCAGACTCATCTCAAAACTCATCTGGATGGTCTACAACCTCAGCTCACATGTCCACAGTGCAACAAGGAGTTTCTCAACCAAGAGTCTCTGCTGAAACATGTGACAATACACTTTACTATTACCTCTACGTATTACATCTGTGAGAGTTGTGACAAGCAGTTCACCTCAGTGGATGATCTGCAGAAGCATCTTCTTGACATGCATACTTTTGTTTTTTTTCGTTGCACTCTGTGTCAAGAGGTGTTTGACTCTAAGGTATCTACACAACTCCACCTAGCTGTAAAGCACAGCAATGAAAAGAAGGTATACCGCTGCACATCCTGCAACTGGGACTTCAGACATGAGACTGACCTACAACTGCACGTTAAACACAGTCATCTGGAGAATCAAGGCCGTGCTCACCGCTGTATTTTTTGTGGGGAATCCTTTGGCACAGAGGTAGAGTTGCAATGTCACATTACTACCCACAGCAAGAAGTACAACTGCCGGTTCTGCAGTAAGGCCTTCCATGCCATTGTCCTCTTGGAGAAACATTTAAGGGAGAAACACTGTGTGTTTGAGGGAAAGTCTCAAAACTGTGGCACTAATGGGTCCACAGTAAGTGGTGGGGAAGGCCAGCCCAAAGATGATGCTGAACTACAAGGTCTCTTAACTAACAGCCATGGTCCAGGAGCAGGAGGAGGATCTGTGGTGGAATCCCAGAACAGCCATGATGGAAGTGAGGAAGAGGTGGACACTGCAGAACCAATGTATGGGTGTGAAATATGTGGGGCATCTTACACCATGGAGTCACTCCTCACTAACCACCAGTTAAGAGATCACAATATCCGCCCTGGTGAGAGTGCAATGATAAAACGGAAGGCTGAAATGATCAAGGGCAATCATAAGTGCAATGTCTGTTCCCGTACCTTTTTCTCTGAGGCTGGGCTGAGGGAACATATGCAGACCCACCTTGGGCCTGTCAAACACTACATGTGTCCCATCTGTGGGGAAAGATTCCCTTCTTTGCTTACTTTGACAGAGCACAAGGTCACCCATAGCAAGAGTCTGGACACAGGCAGCTGCCGTATTTGTAAGATGCCACTGCAGAGTGAGGAGGACTTCCTGGAACATTGCCAGATGCATCCTGACCTGAGAAACTCTCTGACAGGTTTCCGATGTGTGGTTTGCATGCAAACAGTGACCTCCACACTGGAGCTCAAGATCCATGGTACCTTCCACATGCAGAAGACAGGCACAATGTCATCTAGTCAACCCCTGGTCCGCAACAATATCATGTCTCAAAACCAGCAGCCACACCTTGCCCAAAAAATTTTCAAGTGTGCCTCTTGCTTAAAAGATTTCCGGTCCAAACAAGACCTAGTGAAGCTAGACATCAATGGACTGCCTTATGGACTCTGTGCATCTTGCATGACTGCTGCAGGCTCCAAGAGCTCCAGCCCAACAGTGAATGGAGGAAGGCAGCAACAGGGTGGAGCCACCACTCCAGCATCAACAGCTGCTGCATGGGTACAAGGGGAGAGTCTCAGTCCTGGAGATGGAAAAGTCAAAGGTGTCTCTTCATCATCTTCTTCTTCTTCCACATCTTCATTATCTGTTATCAAGACACGCTGTTCCAGCTGCAATGTGAAGTTTGAGTCTGAGGCAGAGTTGCAAACCCATGTCCAGACGGTGCACCGAGAACAAGGTGGGGATAGCAATAGCGGACAGCTCAAGACCCCCCAGGTTTCCCCCATGCCAAGAGCCAGTCCTTCACAAACTGAAGAGGTATTGCTAACCAAAGTAAAAAATAATAATAATAAAATAGGTTTAATTAACAAAATTAAAAAAAATGTAATTATGAAGTTCTTACCACTGTATCAACCTGGTAAAACATTGAAATGTTTTATTTATTGTTTACACTTGATGTTTGTTTCTTTTTTCATGTTTATAGAAAAAAACATACCAGTGCATCAAATGTCAGATGGTGTTCTACAGTGAATGGGACATCCAAGTTCATGTGGCTAACCACATGCTAGGTAAGAAACTTTATCATTAAACATGGCTTCTGTGTAATTTCTGAATCAAATAAACAGCACCATAAAATAGTCAATGTGACATTTACATAGCTATAACATTTAAATGTTAGGTGGAATGATTTTGTGTCTATCCTCATTATAATACACATATTAAGTACAGTTTTTATTTTTTTTCTTCAAATTTCATAGCAGACATTTGATTATCTTTAATCAATTTCAATCCGTTTTTGCCCTTTTTTTAAGGATAAATCCATATTAAAAATTGATGTGATATAATAAAATAGTTGACCCTGTCTTCCTCAGGCTCACATGTATCTGGATCACATCACCAAATAGGTGGAATTATTTTAATATTTTTAAGAATCAAATGCATCTTCAGTGTTGTGCTTTTACAAACATGCAAGTTTCATTTTTCCATGCATGTGAATGGTATAATAGAGTGTTTTGTGCATGCTTGTGGAGCATCATCTTTCAACTTCAAACCATTTTTTTAAAGATAGTTTGAAGTAGTGCAAAACATGAAGCATATTTAAACAATAGTTTAAAATTCAAACATACTATTGAAATGATTAAGATATCTCAATGATATGCCCACAGTTCTTTTTTTTTTAGTTTGTTGGCTTGTTGCCTCTTTTTCCTCTAAGAGCTGAACATATTTTGTAGCATATTTTCATTCATTTATACAAGATCAACCAAAAGTTACACATAGCTCTATTTTACAAATTTACACATGTTGATTTTTGTGTGCATGATTCCTATGATGAGAGCATAAGCCAACATCCACATTTTCAAAATGTCTTCACTTTTGGTTGCCATTTGTATGCAAGCAGAATAATTTACAGAGGAGACAATTGGAAAACAGGTTTTCTTGCCTGCAGTAAGTAGGCGTCTGAATTCCAGTCTCACGTTCCTTTATTCATTCATTTATTCAGCTCGTTTGGCGGCTCTTTCATTACACTGCATTATCTGTTGTCTTCAGTGGGGGAGAGACTCATTGATCTGGAACCAAACCGCCTCTCTGTTTGGGACACGCTTCTAGGCGCAGGTGAATTTAAACACGGTGGGCAATTCTATCAGGACTGGTAGGCAATTCTATCAGGGGCCCACTGTTTGTGCATAAACAATCAGAAGCATGTGATTTGTGATTTTGATTCTGCGGTGTATTTGCAAAAGAGAGAGACGAGCCTAGAGTGTGTAGGTGTGTGTTTTGTATTCATCTTTGCGATCTGCTCACCCACCAGTCTACTGGGGGTGCCTAATACAGTACCATGCCAGCATTAGTCCTTTCTCTCGCAAAGGCAGGCACGGAGCACACTGGGAGGGTAGAAAACAAACCCCCCTACTGGTTATTTTATGTCTTTCAGCCGCACAAGCACACAGTTCCCTCATAATAGTGGAATTCAGACAGCTTAAGATAACAGGAGGATAGGTGATTGGGTTATTGTCTGATGTCTTACTTCTATGATGTGCCACTGCTTAGTATTCAACATGATAACAGGTTTCATCTGACTTCTTAAAAGGTTTTGGTTATGCATTTGTTTTGTGATCTCTAAAATATGAGGAAAACAAAGCTCATTTGGATGGGAAACAAAAGGAAAACTGAACAGAACAAAGAAAATGTGTTTCACTGGCATGTCATGTTAGGAAAGTTTTAAAAAAAAGATTTCACGGCTTATTATAGATGATTAAGAATCTCTCCTTTATAATGTAGAATATGGTTAAAGTCAACTCAGCCCGTAAGCACTATGCATCTAATTTGGGCCAAAAACAGAAAAGAAAAAAAAAAACCCATTTGGAAAAGCTCTAAATACCTTCTCCACAGAAAAAAGGGACACTTTCTCCTTTTAATGGCCATCTGCACAGGAGAGGAGAAACAGGGGGCTGGGGTCATCTCCGCTCAGCTGTCAGCGTTATTAGCGTAGGTAATGGAGCAGACGCTGGATTCATAGGGGTGTTGTTTTCATCCATGCCCCGCTCCATGGTGTCAGTTCACACTGATAACTCTATATATAGTGATGTGTCGTGACATAACTATAGTGCTAAGTGTATAGAACAACAAAACCTGAGCCTGTCTCACCCGGACGGGTTCTTATTAGCTGCCTTTGTAACATAATAGTCACTCTGGACTAAATGTTAAAAGCCTCTACCTTCACTTGGTCTCCTCTGGACAAAGTGGTCATAGCCGCCTCTTCTGTAAGAATGCCAGCACATTTTGATGCATGAATATTACAGTCAAATGATGGCGGCCCTGGTTCAGACATAAAGGGCAGTTCTGGAGCTCAGCTACTCCACATTTACTATGATAATGGAGGTAAATGAAAGGGGAGGAAGGGGCCACGGTAGCAGAGGGGTGTGCTGCAGACCAGCTCCAGCCAAGCCCGTGAATGGCCCCACGTGTCTTAAGATGGAGGCTGTAGCCTACTAAGGCCCAGATGGATCAGTACACATTTGCTGTACAGCTGGTCGCTCTGTTTGGGGACCTGGTGTGATACTCCTATGGAGAAAAAAAATGATATCGCCACCATCCAAGGAGCAATTTAATAGCAGGCCAGAAGACAGCTGGCCACTCTTTAGTTTAGAGTTTTTTTGGCATGGCACACTTACAGAATTGAAGGTATCCGATTTTTCTCCAGAGACACAGATTTTTACAGCTGTCAGCTGTTGCAGTCACTATCAATCCATTCATTTTCTATTATTTTTCTAAATTAGAATATATATTTTACCACACTGGAAAATGATTGCGGTAGTTGCGGTTTGTCAAAGTCATCTTTTTTATTTTCTCTTTTTAGGAAGACCTTTGAAGGTCTTTCATTGGCACAAAAGCCTGTTTGGTTTTATCAGCATGCCATCATGGCACCCCATTGCTTCACTTTGACCCTAGTGTAAACTATGACATTTGGAGCCTCATGGGGGGCACGTTTGTCCCATTTATCGTTCTGTTTCAAATGTCCCTCTGTGGATTTTCAGAGCCACAACATGTTTTGAAGCATGGGCTCCGTCTTAAAGGGGTTTTGAAGGTGATAGGGCTTTTTTCTTTCTTTATTTTTTTGTTACACCCTATCTGTTTTCAGTCTCGTCCTGCTCACTCCAAGTGGCACGTGCCAAGGTGGCAGTGCTCAGAAGGACAATTGTAAACAAACAAACCAAACTACATCCTAGAAAAGTGTTTTTGGAGTCACCTCTACAGATATTTTGGTGGTGGGGGGGATTGGTGACAACATTGAGCTCAAAGCCAAGTCAGGGAGGAGCCTTCTCTCACAGAGAGAAGCCAGTGGCCTGGTCGGCCCAGGCAAAGGGGGGCACTGGCGGGGTGGAAAAGTTCGGGGGCGGAGAGGGAAAGGCACATTTGCTGTACAGCTGGCCGCTCTGTGTGAAGCAGGCACTGTGGGCTGTTACAGACCTGGAGAGGAGAGCCAGTGAGAGGCCTTTAACTGTCCTCTAGCTTCTCCTCCTCTCTCTTCTTCCTGTCCACTCTCTCTCCATTTCCCTCTGTCTCAGTATCTAACGCTCACATTTTCATGTTAAGTGAGCTCCAACCTGGCAAAACATACTGAGTTGGCTGTTAGTGTAGAGACCAACAGGAGGCACACTGTAACAGTTTTTGAAGCCGAAAGCCTTGTTTTGTTTCTTGTTAAGAGTTTTAAATTATCCTTGACACATATCCTCTTGTTTCGGGCCCCAGGAGCAACTTGGCTGTTGTACTTTGATTATATGGTCTCCATCAGTGTCTTTGCTCTGGTAAAAACACATGTATTACTCCTTTAAGTATTTTTTTTTCTCTTTATGCACAAAAAGAACACAGGATTTGCATACTTGGTTTCTTTTTCTATAACTATCTTTGATTAGGTATGTCTTACAGTGTTCCCATAATTTCTAAGACTCATTCATAAAGCGTAAACACATGTAAGCTGTTAACAAACATGACCAAACTCTCCTCATTTGACTCCTAGGGGGCTGGATCAGAGTCAGAACTCAATAAACAACAGAGCAAAGGAGCGGGATCAATCTTATGAAATAAATAAGAGAACAGGTTTGGACCAGCCACTGGAAACAAAAGAATCCATCTGTGCCATACACCGAGTCTGATATCTGCCCGCTTTTATTAATTGGCGATTAATAACGCCTCTTTGTTCGTTAGCATAGTCACCTCCCGTGCAGTCAAGTGTACGGCTGCTAATATGCAATTATGTGCACCTTACTGCTCGTTACATTATACCTCTCCCTGACTAATGTGGGGTCCACGAGGAGAATAGAAATCAGCACAAGCTGAAAAAAAAAAAAAAAAACTAAACTAAAAAAACAGCTATCAATAGGATTCTCGCACTCTTTGTGTTACTTGCCTGTCTGGGCGGAGAACAAAACAAAAGAAGTTTCTTACAAATTCCTCGATGTAACCTGGAGACTGCATTAAAAGTTTTACAGCTTTGCAGAGACTGTTTTGCTCTTCCCAGTGTTTTTGTTGTAAAGCAGAGGTAATTGACATCTCCATGGGGATGCTCTGTTGCTAGGCCAGACAAGCTCAGTCTGATGTGGTCCTTATCTATTGATTTTCCTGACATTTCCCCACACCTCACAGACTAGGCCAACATGTGAGAAAATATCTGGTGCTCTCAGTTCATACAGCCTGCTTGTACAAACTCGGAGCGAGCACTTGCCGCCCCTCGCTGCATTGCAATTGGTAGGCAGATGTTGCAGTGGCGACTTGGGGTAAAACTCTCATGTATTGGTTGAAATGGTGTACCTTTTGGGTAATGTGTACACAACAGCAAGTTTAATGCACCAATTTACATGTGAAACATTTAGTGTAAAGCTTTTTATTGCAAGTCTTCTGTAGGACTTAGATGACCTGAATAAAGGTAAGCACTCCTAGACTGTCCTCTTGCTATGTTTTATTGATATACAGTAGAGATGTCCCTTTTAGAGTGTTAATGCCAACCCTTGTTCCAAAGTGAAACCCATAAATACTGGATGATCAGAATTAACCTCTGCATTACTCCTCT